TGAAAAATAACATTTATTCTTTTTCCTTTAGGAGACTGTGTTGGATGATACGGCTGAGGAGGGAAATATGTGCAAGTCCCAGGACACTCACGTAGAGAGAAGAAGGCTGCCAAAGGCAACCTCCTGCTGCCCCTGGGCTGACAGTCTGACTGGGCAAATTGACAGATTATCCAGAGATCTGACGTCTCTCCAAGATCAGCTACATAAGCTTGTAAGCGAGCGAAGGGCTGCGTGGGGTGAGAAGGTAAGGCTTTGGGTGGAGTTCGTAACCATTAAGTGGTTTTTAAGGTCCTGTATTTTCAGCTCTCTTGCTGTGGCCCATCCTAGGGCAGCCTTGCTGTTACTGCTCCCTGTCAACCTTGCTGCAATCGCCATGTCAGATCTGCAGTTACTTGTCTGTTTATGCCCACAGCATGCCAAGTGCTCTTTCAAACACAAAGTAGGCATCTGTCCCGGAGAGGCAGCGTGCTGAAACAAAACAAGTGTTCTTTTGGAAAGGGAAGGCATCAAAGGAGGGGTTACAGAGGAGAGAAGAGAAGAGGAGGAAATTGTGGCAGCCCCCAGAGGGGATAGATGCAGCAGGCTGAAAGCATCAGTAATGGTTATAGTAAGAAAAATAAAGAAAGGTATTCACAGGGAAAGAAGGATGGGAGAGGCCAGAGCTTGTCATCTTTCACTGAATTAGTAGTCTTTGAAATTTCTGATGGGGGAAGGAATAAGAGGGATTTGAAACCTGTGAAGTGAGAGAAGAGACTAAGCACAAGATTTGATGGAAGACAGACTGGCTGTGGGAGGCTGAATGCAGAGGAAAGCAGGTGATATGAAGGAGGTGTACGTGGTGTTCACTGTCATAAGGATGGGGAGACACTGGGAAGCACCCAGAGCGGGTGGTGGGGCATAAATAAAGGAACTGTTAATGTAGATGTAGAAGGTGATTCTGAATATTAACATGCTGGCACGAGGAGAAGATACAATGAAGAAGCAGGCGTAAAAAACCTAGTGATTCTTTTTAGGCATTAGAAGAGAAGGATACCAGAGAATGTGTAATACCTGTGTATGGAAGAGAAGTAAAAGAAACAGTTGGGGCAAATAGAGCAGTAACAAAAATCTCTGTATCATTAATTTGTGTCTGTATTAACTTAGGAGAGAGATTTTTGCTTGGTGTATTTAATTTCTTTCTGTTCAGGAGGGACAGGAGTGTGTGGTTTTAGGTTGAAGTGTTGGCAGAAAGGATTGTAGATCAGCTGACAAAATGGAAAATGGCAGGTTGTCAGATCAAGAAGTATTTGCCCAAGAGTTCAAAAGGGGTCTAGCATGGAAAAAGTGTGTGGAGAGCTCATGGCTCTCTTCCACTGTAAGGATAAGGAACTAATTAGGATCAGTTGGATAGGGACAGGCACAAGGAGCTGCTGCTTCACACAGAGAACAAAACTTCTTCCCACAGGGCACTGTGCATATAAGCAGTGTACATGGATTTGAAATCTGTTGTACATACTCTGGAAGCTGAAATCCATCAAAGACTATAAAATATGCAGATACGAGTTACAAACTTATGAGTTAGCAGGAGAACAAATCGTTGCAGGCTGGGGGAATATTCTGAGGACGTATCTCCATGTATTTGCCTTTGTCTTAGAGTCTTCTCTAGGCACTTGCTGTCCATCACTGTCAGTGATGGAGTACTGGACTAGGCAGATCTCTAGCATCATCAGAATCGGTTGCTTCTGTGGCAAAATGGACATGACTGTTGTGGGGCAACTCAGACCTTGAATTCTAAAAATAAATGTTCCAGTGTGTGGTTTCTAAAGCAAGATATACTCTGACTTCTCTTATCTATGACAATACATATGCTGTAAAATATGTTGTTGAATATTATGTAATACCACACTGAATTTTTTTCAGACTTACATTTGGAGATTAAGTCCAAAAAGATTTAACCGATCATTTCTTCTTTTAAATAGAGGCACTGGTTGGATTTGAATAATGGTTGATCATTTTCCAGTGTTTGAGATTCTGTGGATGTCATAAGGGTTTGTGACTGTGGGTAATAAATGGAGTGCATCTTAAGTGTGTTCTTAAAAGTGTGTTTATCACAAATGGCTTCTCTTCTACATGCCCTGAAACAGAATTGTTTTCTAATGCTACATGACAGCATTTTTTGGAGTGTTGGGGGTCAGGTGATTCTCCATCAATCGTTTTTATATCAACCCTTCCTTTGCATAGTGGTGCTGCTTATGTGATGCTTCCTGCCTGTGGTCTGTCTCCACAGCCAGGGTGTTTGCTGAATGCAGGCTCCTCTATCAGTTGTATGTTTCTGACCCCTTCAGTCTTTTGTTTCCCTGGAGAAATAAGCTTATCAAACCTTTCCTTCTGTATTTTTTTTTAAAAAATCAAACAGAAGATACAGCAGTAGCTAAAGTCATTATCACTAGCTTTGTATCTTGCAATACTAAGACATCTGAAAATTATCTTGGCTCTCACAGCCATGCCCAGCTGAGGGACAGTGCAGTTTATTACAGTTCTTGTGTCCACTGCCTTGTACTTCAGAAAAAAGCATGTTAATCCACAGAGTATTTGTGTCTGTTCTTACCAGTTGGCCTGGTGTCTGTGCCAGGCAACTGGGTAGAAACTGTTCTGAACAGCAGAATTGAGGGCACACGATGAAACGTGATATACTGGGGAAGAGACAGCACAGTTTCTGCAGAGAGGAATCATGACTGTAAAATCTGTTGGAGCTCTCTGAAGGGACCAATGAGCATGTGGGCAGGGGCAGTTGGATTGACATAGTTTAATTGCATTTACAAATGGTATTTGATAAAGTCCCTGAAAAGATTCTCAACAAAAATAAACTGCCCATATGACTGTCTTTTCTCTTCCCCTGGAGCAAACGGCAGAGCAGGAAACAGGGAGGGCTGTGATGGGTTTGTGGAGAAAGTCATTGCTGGGGCCTCTTGGGCCTGTGCTGCTCAGCATGCCACAGCTCTGGGAAAGGGGTGCCCAGGTGGGGTGAGGAGACTAAATCCTTGAGAGCATGTGAAGGACAAGTGCAAAGGATTATTGAGTAATAATTGAGTAATGAAGTGGTAGAATGTCAGATAAAATTGCGTGGAGATAAATCTAAGAATATGGATCTGAAGGGAGAATCATAATCTTACATGTGTTTCTTCTGATTGACATGGCACATGAATGAGCTCTGTGGAAATGTCAGTGGTCAGAAATAGTAAACTGAATCCTAAAAACTGTTAGGAAAGCAGAAGAAAGCAAAACTTAAAATATCCCCATCTGTTCCTGGAATGCCATGTGCTGTGTTAGTTCCATTCATAAATAAAAATAGGTGACTGAGCTGAAAAGGCACAGAGAAGGGATCCTGTTATGACCCAACCTGTGAAAGGGTTTCTCTGTGAGGAAACTTACCTCGGCTGGGCTGCTTGCATGAGAAGAGGAGAGAATGAAGAGGGGTATCACAACAGAGCAGGAGGAAACACATTTACTGTTCTTACGATGCTCCTTGGTTTTCATGATAGGAGAACCAAGAGGGAATTACTGGGCAAATTAATGAAGAAAAGTCATTAAGTAAGAAATATGGCAAGTATTCTCTGATCAGGAAGGTCTTTCAACTGTAAACTACTGGAGTTTAGGAAGTTGCATCTTTCAGTGAGATATTGTTACATATTTGTCTAGTCCTAAACCTATTGCCTAGTGACTTGTTATTGAAGAGTATTGGAGACAGTGCTGGGTTACATGGATCTCTGATCTACTAAGGTACAGTTCCTCTTTCCTTACATCCAGTTTTGAGCATCACCATTCAGGAGAGAAGTTAGGGAGAGTCCAGAAGAGAAAAATGAAAATAAGTCTGGACTGTAAGGGCTTTGAAGTTCTTTATGTTAAAAATTGAAAGACTAAGATAAGGTACATTATTCTTTGAATATCAAGAAGCTTTCTTTTTTTTTCCCCAGCCATGCCCTCAATGAATGGGACAAAAATGTGTGTAAATCACAACAGAGGTTTTAATTAGATACTAAGAAAAAAATGACTAATGTCTAGCTCACTTTGGGTGAGCTGTGCAGTTTCCATTCTTGGACCCTGTACAAACCAGGTTATCAAATGTCTGTTAGGGATGGCTGAAGAAGAGTTGGACCTGCTCTAAGAATGTCGATTGAGCTTGAAAACCTGTTGAAGTGTCTTTCATTTATGAAAGACTTCAATTGATGGATTGATTGATTTTGGACTGTGTAGAGGTATTTCAGGTGTGTTAAAGCCATTGCTACACCATGATGCCTGTTTTCTGCCACTAACCACAGCTGATCATGTCTCAGGATTTGGTTTCAGGGGCAATGTGTCTATTTGTCGCAAGTTTGATCATTTGCACACTGTGATTCTGGTAGTTAAACCTATCATTCTTAAGTTCCTTGAAATTAAGGAACTAATTTTGTGTATTTTGTTTTGTTTCTTTGTTTCCTTATTTTCTTTTGTTTGTTTCTGCCTGCCCCCAGCTGTTTCTTTGATTATGTGCTTGGAATGACCCTGAAACTGCTTCGCCTTTCAGGGACATTGACTAGAAGACATTTGAATGTAGCAGTGATATTTGGGTGATTTGTGAAACCCTGGTTAATATGACATTTTAACTGATACCCATCTCTAGGCAGCAATGTGTTCAGTATCTTGGAGGAGAAAAGGAGTATCACAGAGGTGTGATCTGAATGTGGGGGCTTTCTGACTGTTAGCTTTGCTCTCTTCTGTGCAGTATTGGGCAAATAATCATAATTTCTTTGGTGACATTTTGGGGAGCTGTAAATGATCAGAAAGGTGGAGGGAAATGGTTCAGCTTTGAGAATGCTTCTCCTCTTAGAAACAATCTCCTATTTCCAGAAGAGAACTTGGTTTTTTGCTTTATCCTTTCTAAATATTTCATGTTATCTGCTCCTCTATTCGAGGGGAGGATTTGATTTCAGCCTGTGTTAAACGTTTGGCATCCCTGAGCTGGGATGCAGAGTATTTGACTCCAAACGGTAATCGTTTCAGTTTTCATCACATAAATGCTTATACCATTCTGAGCTTTTGTTGAAACTTGGGATATTGTATCCTGAGATCCTCTGTGTTCACTAGCGTTTAAAAGCAAGCCAGACTCCTTTGAGATGGTGATATGATGGGATGGAGCTTGTTCATGCATATACCTCTGAAGTATGGACCAGAAAGGCTTAAAGCCATTAACTTGAGCTTGAACATGCTCTTTTCACACTAGAGTTC